TCCATCAGAAACTTTAAAACTCTGCCTTAGCCTTCACTTTCTACTTGCACAGATCCTCAAGGTCATCCAGGTATGAGAGCTTAGGGTATTTTCAGGTCTTTGCTTACCATGTGTGCAAAAAATCGTGGGCATATATAACCCTATGTATGCATTTGATCACCTAGATTCCTAGGAATATGTCAGAGCTTTTCAAAGCCCTTTGGACATCTTATTCTCCATCTTTTTCTTTTCAGCCTTTAGCTAGCCCTGTGGTCGGCAAACCACGGCTCACGAGCCACATGCAGCTCTTTGGCCCTTGAGTGTGGCTCTTCCACAAAATACCACGTGCAGGCGTGCACGTACAATGCGATTGAAACTTCGTGGCCCATGCGCAGAAGTCGGTATTTTGTGGAAGAGCCAGTATTTTGTGGAAGAGCCACAAAAGAGCTCAAGTCGCGGTTTGCTGAGCCGAAGTTTGCCGACCACTAGCTAGCCTATTGTTTATCTCAACTTTCTCAATCAACCCTAGCAGCCGCAAAGTTAAACAATTAACACTAATTGTTTTGACAAACACCCTTGAGAAAAAGGCTTTCCCACTCTGAATCATACTATATAATAAAAGCCTAATATGCTAAGTGTCTGACCATTCGTTTTACCGTTCTACCAGTTGCTATGACATGCACTGACCACTAGGGGCAAACGCTCCAACTGGTAGGTTAGCTTGCTGCTGGGGTCTGGCTGATCAGGACTGGGTGAGATGGGTCAGACATGCCCTGGAGCCCTTCCCAGCCCCAATCATGCACTGATGGGGTTCCTCAGCCTGGCCTGCACCCTCTTGCAATCTGGGACCCATCGGGGGATGTTGGAGAGCTGGTTTGGGCCCAATCCCTGCAGGCCAGGCTGAGGGAGCACACTATTGCGCGAATCTGTGCACCGGGTCTCTAGTAGCAAATAAAGATAGCCTTGCAAGTATGGTCTTACAGGGAACCACCAGACAAGTCAAAGTGTGGCAATTCTCTGGGAATGAGGCACTGAAGGAGGTCAGCTCCATTCTGCAACCGCCAGTGGCTGCCGTATTTCCCATTTTCAACATGATTACAAGCTGTGTCGGTTTTCAAGGTTACCATGGAGCTAGAGAGAGGAGATGAGACTAGGGCAAGTTAAAATGCCACAAATCTCACTCCTTTTTACTGAGATTTAGCTGTTGTTGTTTTTTAATTAACACTCCCCAGATTGCTGCAAGCATTTGGCTAATATCTAGAGTTCTGAAATAGTTGACTCTAATGATGTTTGCCAGTTTTACTACTTTTATGAGAATTTTTCTACTCTGCCATTTTCTCTCACTCCTCTATACTTTATTCAAGGAGACACATTTTGCCTCTTAAATGGTGTGTCCATTACCATATTTTTGCATTGCTAACGTACTCATTCTTGAGACTCAGCTCAGGGTCACTTCCTTGAGCAATGGAACACTTTCTAAAAATTAAATCTGACACAGACCTAATTAAGTGAATCAAATGCTATCTCAGCTGCTCTTGTTCAATGAATGAGTGAGAACTGGATCCATGCCAGATCAGCAATCACTTTTCCCAGTTCCCTGCTATTTCTCACAGAGCCCTTGAAGCACTGCCTCTGAGAGCCTGAGGCTCTACAGATCATAGCATGTAACACTAAGCTAGAAGAATGCTTGGTGAAATTTTTAAAAAACAGATTCAAGTGGTAGGCAGTCAATTGGGGTAGATAGCATCTAGATAGCTTCTAACCAGAAATTATATGTTTTCTTGAATGAAAAGGCTAAAAAATTACTCCAATGACTCACTAACAAGGCCATAAAACTTTCTAGAAAGTTATAGAAATGTATAAATTACAGATATATGCCCCCAAAATAATGGCCACTACATATTAGAAATATGAATAAAATAAAAGTTTTCTTAATCTACACTAATAAAAGACAAGCATGCAAATTGACCATGCCTTCGCTACGCCTTAAGCCACGCCCACCAGCCAATCAGAGCGACTATATGCAAATTAACCCAACCAAGATGGCGGCCAGCAGCCACGGAGCTGGAGCGAGCAGGAGGCTTGGTTGCCCCAGTGATGGAGGAAGCCAAGCTTCCTGCCTGCTGCGGCAGGCTCTGAGCTCCACTGAAGGCAACAAAGTTTCCATTATAGAAGGTAAATAAACCCCAGATACCTGCTTTCAGCCGGCCGTGGCCACGGAGCTGGAGCGAGCAGGAGGCTTGGGTTTCCCTTGGCGATGGAGGAAGCCAAGCTTCCTGCCCCGCCCTGGCCGGCTCTGAGCTCCAATCAAGGCTACAAAGTTTCAATTATAGAAGGTAAATAAATCCCATAATAAAAATAAAAAAAAGGAGAGGTTGGGAGCTTCCATTGCCTGGGGGCTTAGCCAGCCTGAAAACGGCCCTCAGCCCCTCACCCAGACTGGCCAGGCACCTCAGTGGGGATCCCCCCACCCTAAAGGGTGTGTGGCCAGCCTGAAAACAGCCATTAGCCCCTCACCCAGGCTGGCCAAACCT